CCCCCAGCCCCTGGCTCCAGCGGCCCTCCCCCGCCCCGCCCCCACCTGAAGGCGTCGAGCCTCTCGTCCAGGAAGACGCCGTACGCGCGGATCCACGCGGAATAGTCCCATGTCTCGCGGCTCGAGTGGTCCGCGTATCGGTCCAGGCACAGCAGCCGGTGGCGGCCCGTGCGGTCCGCGAAGCGCAGGACCTGCTCCTGGAAGCTGGGGTCGCACTCGCGCATGAGGCGGTGGAACACCATGAGTGCCTTGAGCGCGACGACCCAGTTGGGGCTGTTGAGGCGCTTCGCGAGCTTGTAGATCACGAAGTCGACCTGCTGGCGCGGCGCGTGCGCGCTGCAGGCGATCTTGAGTGCTGCGCGTGGGAGGGGAGGGCGGGGTGCGGGGGACAGTAAGGCAAGGAAGGTGACGGTGGTGGCTGCTTTGCTCCGGCTGCGGCCGCGTGCAGCTGCGTGTGGGGGCGGTGGGCTGAGAAGTCCGCCCCAATTACGGCAACCCCAATGCTTGCTGCTGTGCACTGCTGCGCAGCAGCCTTCCAGAGGCGACCGCTGAGCTGCAAAGACAAGCGGCGGCCGCAAGGCACCCTGCTAATTTCGAAGGAATGGCCCAAAGCAAACGCACTGCGGACATGCTTCTCCTTGGGCACCACCTCCTCTGCCAACGTGGCCTTTGTGACTGCAACATAGAGGTCCTGATTAAGGGGTTGGGGCGGGAGAATAATAAGTGAGTGCGGCTTCCGCAAGCGCCTGGCATCAGATCCATCTGCAGCGGCGCTGCCATTGGCGCGCGCGCGCAGTGCGTGTGCGCGTCTGCCGCCACAGCTGGGCTGCCACTAGGTGTTTCCGATCAAATCGCAACATCAAAATCGAATTGGCACCGCCCGCAAGGACTGTCATTGCTCAGAGGTCGATCCCCGCATGCACGAGGGCATCCCCCCATGGTGCACCCGCAAGCAGCGTCCGCCTACCTGCGTCTGCTCGCCCTTCACGGCTGCCACCGCGAGCTTAGTTTTGTCCTTCAGAAGGGCCGGCTCCATGCTGGCCCGTATTTGGCTTGCGCGGAAACCCGCAGGGGTCTCAAACAGGCCTGGAGCTACGTCAAGACGAAACGATCGCCTGTAAACCACCTTACAACACGCCTCAGTGCCCCCAGGCTGGGGGGGCTACCGTACAACAGCTCTTGCAAGAACAGCAGCTTCAACCTCTTGCATAAGTCACGAGCTATGTCAAAGCATCGCGTTATCTCAGAAATTCACGAATACGCACCAGGACGTGGGCGTCGAGGAAGCCGACGGGAACGCGGCGCCAGGAGCCAGGGCCGACGGGCGGGTCCTGCCATCGCAGGGGCTTCAGGGGCTGGATGGCTGGGAGGGGCTGTGCAGATCCAAGCACAGTACAGAACAACATCAAGACGAATGCCGAGGGACGTCCATTGCTGAGCACGTTTGGAGGCTCTGTGGAGACCGTGGCGTCCCTCTCGGACAAGGAGACATCCAGCCCAATTCCTGTAGTGCTGGCGCGCAGCGCCGTCAGTGGGGCTTGTTTGAGAGATGGGCCCCGTTTCCACAGAAGCATCCCTCGCAGGACCCTGCCAAGCCTCACCGTGCTTGGGCCATAAGGCCTGCCATCCTCTGTCGTCAGCAAACCCTGGCTGAGTTTCGTGTGCAATGTCTGCTGCGCCCGGCGCACGCAGCCGAAATGTGTGCAGAACGACATGCTTGTTGTCACTGCAAAGCGGGTTTTTCAAGGATGATATACAGGCAGGTGCACAGGGGTCGAAGTTCACCGGCGGCCGCGGACTGATGACTGCATTGACTTGTCATTGTGTGCACATGGCACGTACCAGCAGTAAGGGTGAGTGGCACATGGCACACATGTTGCAGGCAACTCTTGCAATGTCAGCACTAGATGGCGGGTCAGCAGGCGGCAGGCATTTTTTTTGTCTCCTTCGCCACCTGCAGCAGAGGTGGCAGGCAACTTCTAGCTGCTGTCAACGTAGTCACGCGGGAACAGGCAACATCGGCATAACAGTGTCGCACCATGAGCGCATTCGCATGAGCCGAACGTTGCCGAATTGAACACAAAGCGAGATCGGGCTGTGTGCAAGATCATCTCGTCGTTCTCTTGGCTTCTGCAATCCTGCTCACCAACTCTCGAAATCTTGTAGCCAACACCAATTCTTGCCACCCATCAGGCAGTGCTTCGCGTGCAAGCATATCGCGGCGGCCGCCGCACGCACCCAAGCAGAGCACGCGCGGGCGCCTCGCCGCGCGCTGCCGCTGCGCGCCATGGACCCATTCATGGAAGTCGTTATCCTGGCGGGCGGCGAGTGCAAGCGACTGTACCCGCTCACCAGCGGCGGCGTGGTCAAGGCGCTGCTGCCGGTTGGCAATCGGCCGCTCATCTCGTTCCCGCTGCGCCACCTGGCAGAGGCGGGCATCAAGAGCGCCATAGTGGTGCGCAGTCGGTGCCCGACTCAACCTCACAGACAGACTGCAACACTTGCGTTGCTTGATCCCCACGGGGCTGCTCTTGTGGCCATGTAGCAGCGAAGCAGCCACGGAGCGCCCAAATGGCGCAGCAGACGGTGCCGCAAAATTCGCGCAACATCAGGCCTGCCGGCCAGGTAGCGCGATTTAGCCGCCCCTCGCTCACCCCGACCTCATTGGTGACATCCGAAGGTGGCCATTGGCGAGGCGGTGGCCAGCAGCATCTCTACGTACCTGCAGCAGCAAGCGGCGGCCGGCGGCGTCGCGTGCCGGGTGCGCGAGTATTCCCATAGCAAGTTGCCTAACCTCATGCTGGCTGTCCGCTACAAATGGGAAGCCTAGGAAGCACCCCCACGGCACGAATGCTGCTGCTCCTTAGGAAGCATGCTCATGCCTGCACCACTGAGGCAACAGCAATTGCAGCAGCGGCGCCCGCAGACCGCTCTTCTCACGTCACCAACCATCAACGCACCTCCCTTTTTTCTGGTCAACCCAGGTGCTGACTGTCGGCGAGGAGTGCGACACGGGCGACGCCCTGCGGGCCGTGTCGCAGCACCTGGACCCCAAGGCGGCCGGCGTGGTGGTGTACTCGGGGGACCTCATCTGCGACGCGCCCCTGGGCGCGATGCTGGTCTCCCACCAGCTCAGCGGCGCGCTGGCCACGGTGCTGGTGGGCGCGCGGCGCGTGTCCCCGACAACAGAGACCAAGCCGGGCAAGGCGCCCAAGGTCTGGCGCGCGGCTGGGGCCACGCCTGGGGGCGCTGGGGCCGCGGTTGCGTGGGCTGTCGGCAGGGGGCCTGGGCGTTGCGCGGTCCCCGCTCGAGATTTGGGACGCTGCAGGCGGGTCGGCGCCGCCCGGGTCAGGAGGGTAGACGCGCGCAAAGTTGTGCTTGCTGCCTTTCTCGGCCAGGGCTCGCGGCATGTCGCTCGCTTAACCCTCGCGCTGGGTCACATACGCACAGAGGCACATACATGCACGCGCGCGCATACACACACACACACACACACACACACACACACACTCCCTCTCTCCCCC